ATGGGAAGGGGGGGGCGGGGGGAGACAGAAAATATAGAGGAAAGATGGGGAATTCTGTCACTTGTGTGTATTTCTTTGTGTGTCCTTGGGCCCCTTGAATGATGAACTGGTGCCGGGGGAGGGCGCTCAGGGTCCAGGACCCGTTTCTCTCAGGACCCGTCTCGTTGATGCCAGCGTGGGCTCAAAGAAAGCGCGTAGGGAGGTTCAAGGTTTCGGATCGATGGTCGAGGTTCGAGGATCGAGGATCGCGGACCAAGGCGAGGCGCAGCCCCTAGCCCAGGGAGACCTTTCGAACTTCGAGATTCGAAGATTTGGGGGCGTCCTTCGCCCTTTCCTGAGCCTCTGGAGGGCTTCTCGTCGCCACAAGTTTTGATCTGAGCGTACTCCTGAGCAGGTCGCTGAGTTTTGATCTGAGCGTACTCCTCGCGCTGCGAAAGCGCGACCGGCTGTTTGTTCTGATATCTTCGACTTCGTGGGAGGAGGCCTCCCTGGACCCCAGGGCCGTCAAAAAGGCGGTTCAGGGTGAGAAACGGGTCCCAGGAATTGGTCCAGACATCAGGGGAGCCGCGCTACGAAGCAACACACGACGACGGATGTCTGGGTTCGCCGGCCGTCGGTGGCCTTCGGGAGCCGTTGCCGTCGCCGCCGACGACGACGACAACGACGACGACGACGACGACGGGAACGATCCGAATGACGATCCTCGACTCACGACCCCCAACTCTGGCCAGCCCAAGGTGGCCGTCGGCACGCTGACTGCCGGCTCGGCACCGCCGACACCCGCGGCCAAGGAGGCTGAGGCGGTGCCCACCTTCCAGGCGGCCGAGGGGGGGGGGAGGTGAAGGGGGAGCAAGTCAGAGCATGTGCCAAACGACAAGGAAAGTCGTCCCCGAAGGGTGCACCAAAACAAAACGGTGCGCTAGGAGAGGACAAGAGCTTGACGCTGGCCCACTTGCGGCCACCTTCCCCGAGGTGGTGTACCGCCTCCGGTGGTGTTTGGGTGAACGGAACACCCACCTCTGGAGACGATACAGGTCCTGATTCTGCGGACCCCGCTGCACCGACCCTAAAACTGCGGGCCAGATACGCGGACCCAGGAGGGCAAACGTGTGCTTCACTTGTGCTTGGAACCCATGGTGCGAGGGAGTTGAACCCACCACCACGGCAAGAAAACGGCCGCCTGCCTGTCCCCAGCGCCCACGCGTCGACTCCAAATTTCACTGTGCCCTTCGCGTTACGTGGCGCTGGCACCAGGATACGGTGCCATGCGGGAGGTGAGGGGGGAGGAGGGAGGGGGAGGGAGGGGGGAGGAGGGAAAGGAGGGAGAGGAGGGGGAAGGGAGGAGGGAGGAGGGGAGGATGGAGGACGGGAAGAAGAGGGGAGACGGACGGACAGGATGAGGGTAAAGAGGAGGAGGGGGATGAGGAGGGGGAGGCGGAGGAGGAGGACGAGGACCGAGGGGGAGGAACGAGGAGAGGATGAGGAGGAGGGAGGAGGAGGAGGAGGAGGAGGAGGGGAGGAGGGGAGGAGGAGGAGGAGGAGGAGGAGGAGGAGGAGGAGGGAAGAAGGAAGGAGGAGGGACGACGAACGAGGAGGGTTGCCAAGATATGGAGGAAGAGGAGGAGGGCAGGAGCGGGGCAGCAGGAGGACTGACGAGGGGCAGGGGAGGAGGACGAGAGCGGGGACAGGGAGGTCCTGGTGCTCATGCTTTTGCCGGCACCCCCGCCGCCGCTGTTGTGTTCCTCCGTCCTGCCCCTCTTCCTCCTCCTCCCTCTTCCTCCTCTTCCTCCTCCATCCGTTTCCCTTGGACAGAACTCCTCCTTGTCGCACCTCGAGGCCAGTCGGAAGGGTGCGTTGAGCGTTTTGCCGGAGACTGTTTGTGATCGTGAAGCTCAGAATGTGCAAGGGCTTCACGGATGGAGGGCGGTCCGTTTTCAAAATGTGGTTTTCGTTTCAATGCCGCGCGCATTCTTTTAAACAAATCGCACGAGTTTTATTGATAGAAGGCGGCCCGCTTTCAAAATGTGGCCTTCGCCTGCGCGCCGCGCACATTCGTTTTTTGACATTGCAAGAGCTTCGCGGATGGAGGGCGGTCCGTTCTCTAAATGTGGTTCTCGCCTCCGCGCCGCGCACACTTTTTTACATGTTGCGAGAGTTTCTCGGATGGAGGGCGGCCCGTTTTCAAAATGCGATTATAATTTATGTGCCGTACACATTTGTCTTACCAGGTTGCAAGAGCTTCACGTATGGAGAGCGGACCTTTTATAAAATGCTGTTCTCGCCACAGCGCCGCGCACATTCACTTTAAGAGTTTGCAAAAGTTCCACTGATTCGCATGGTTAACGTCCCAGACATGGTGTTGTGGCACGACGTCGGAAAGTCAGGGCGCAACAGTTATTTGTATTCGCGGCGTTGAAGTCCCAGGAATGGTGTTCCGGCGCGGCTCATGATCTTCAAATCGCAGTAGTAACGGTGATTCGCGGCGTTGGTGTCCCAGGGACGGCGCGTTGGCACAATTGCAAACAGTAGTCTTCCAGCGTGGCATGCCCCTCCGTGAAAATGAACCCGTGTAGGGGCCAACGAAAAAAGGAACTTGGAGGGAGGGTGTGCTGCAATGTCGTCGATGGGTCTTGGGATTGCATTGGTCCTCCTCCTCCTCCTCTTCCTTCTCCTCCTCCTCCTCATCATCAGCCGCAGCCGCTTTGGCTCAAGATGTCCGTTTCCTCCCACAGAAAGGATACTGCTAGTCCGCGGCCGGCTCGCAGGTTCCTCTGAGCTCCTGTTGGGGCAAGCCCCCTCTCCAACAGACGGCCTGGTGGGTAAGCAGTGGAGCTCCCCGTTCCTATTAGGCTACCCGTTCTCATGTTTGCGGGCGGGGCTGATGAAAAAGAAAGCAACTCAGAGCCCCGAATTATCAGGGGTAACTCGGGTCAGGGTTAACTCGGGTTCGTTTTTCGGGAACCCAAACCCGAGTTACCCCGGACCCGAGTTACCCCGGATAACTCGGGCGTCCAGAGCCCCGAATCATCAGGGGTAACTCGGGTCAGGGTTAACTCGGGTTCGTTTTTCGGGAACCCAAACCCGAGTTACCCCGGACCCGAGTTACCCCAGATAACTCGGGCGTCCAAGCAACGATGAAACCGGGCGGTGCTGACCACGCTGGTGCTTCTGCTCGTGATGTCTTTCGGCTCGGTGCTTCTGATTAGAATATGGCAGGTCTCGCCCCAGCCGCGCCAACGGCGATGATGAGGACGACGTGGGACCTGCTGGATGGGATGCACGCATCAAGGGCTTCAGCGATGTAAAACTTGGGACGGGATTCAAGACTCTCCAACCAGAGCTCACGGAGATGGTCTTAGCCAATGCAAGCTCGGCAGCTGGACGTGCCCGCCGCCCCGTCATGGCAGCATTCCAGGCGTTGGAGAATGCGACCAAGCTGTTCCCGGCACGTGCGAACCGCAAGTGGAAGCCGCGCTCAGGCCCGAGATCGACGCGATCGAGCGGCGGTTTCAAGTTCAACTCGACAGTGGAAGCTATTCATGGACGCGCCGGCAAAATTGCAGCTGACATGGTTGAGATGCGATTTGCCATGGACGTAATGCGGCGTAAATCGCACTTGCACATCGGGCACCGCCTCCTCCCAAGCCACCCCGCGCTGCACTCCAGCGTGAGCTTGACGGAGTCATCCTCGAGATCAAGGTTCTCACGATCGTCAATAAGGTTGTTTGACGCGGCGCGTCGCCGGTTGACGAATGGCTCAAAGATGCGAAGATCGACGGGCACCAGCTCCCCGGGGAAGATCCCGACCGCATCTACACCGCGCAGTTCACTCGAGCCGTCGCTGTCGCTGGACGGCGCGCGGTCCAAATACTCGGTGGTCGTCGTCTCCTTGGTAATGGGCAATGGGCGCGCTTCCCTGCGCCTGCAACTTCTGGCGGCCCCATTCAGTTGCACGTTGGCTCTGACAGAAGGTCGCGCCAGAGCAAGTTGGGAATCGCCGGGGGAACAGTAGCGGCAGCTCTTCGGGAGCAACGCGCGGACGCCAAATTCTTCATCGACCGTCGGAGCGGTTGGATCACGGAAAGCTGAAACCCTATTCTTCGTTTGAAACCCCAGGCTGGTCGTGATGCGATCTTGCGTAACTGGCGTCGCGCAGCTCTCGCGTCGCGCGGGCGGCCCCGCGACTGGGCTCGGCGACGCTTCGAGCGCATCCTCGAGCCCAGTGCCCCCCCCACAGTGGTCTCTCAAGCGCTTGCGACAACTTCGCGGAGACCGCGCAAGGCAGGAAGGCCCCCCAGCAAGCGGAGCCGTCGCTCGCCCCCTGGAGCGCGAGAGAGTTCTGCCTCGGCGGCGGGGCGCATTAAGCGACGGCAGAGGCGACGCGCTTCCAGAGGGCCGGGGTCGGGGATCTGGCGCTTGCTCAACGGCACCGTAACGGGTACTTACTAACGGGTACTTTGCGATTTTGCCGAAAGTTGCCACTTTCGGGCCTCTTTCTGGCAGTGCAGCGTTGCCCGCATCGGGAAGGGTTGGGTTCGCTGGGTCACTGGCCAAAGTACCCGTTAGTGGAGTCCCCGTTTGAGGGGCGCTGACTTGCGACCCAGGAGGTCAATCAAACGCTTAGTGAGTTCCAGACGTGCACGCGTAGAATTGCGCCAATTCTGCCGCCTTCGGCCCCTCCGAAGGGAACCGCACTGGGCCTTAACTCGTGGCGGGGTGGCGACGGCGGCCCCCTATGCCCACGCGTCTTCTTCCGCCTCCCGCGGCGTGGGCGCCCCCCGTCGACGGGGCGGAGGGGGCCCGAGGCGGCCGCGCGTGGCGCCCGGGCTGAGACGCGGCCCAATTCATAACCTCCTCCTCCTCCTCATCATCCTCCTCCTCCTCCTCCTCCCCCTCCTCCTCCTCCTCCTCCTCCTCCTCCTCCTCGCCTCCTCCTCCTCCTCCTTCTCCTCCTCCTTCTCCTCCTCCTCCTCCTCCTCCGCCTCCCCCTCAACCCGCGCATGGCGCCCGGGCATGGCACCATTCATAACCGCGGCTTGTCTGGCGCACTGACAGAGGTCACAGCGGACCTGAAGCTGGACTCGGCGTGGCCCCGGGGCGACCCGAGGGCGAGACTTGCGGGGATTTGTGGGGTCTTCAATTGTGCTCATCAGGCGCCACTGCAGTGGCCGCGCCCCGAGGCTGCCCGGGACTTCAGGGCTGCTAACAACGCGCGCACGCGCATGTATGATTGGATGGCGGCACTCGTTTCCATGCTCGAGATCGGGCACGCGAGGCCGCCGGCGGCCATCCCGGCGACGCTGAGGAGATCACATGTTTGGGCCCCTTTTGCTGCGCGACCAGGGGCAGCAACGCCATCCGCGCCCGCCCCGCGGACAGTCTCAGCGCCGACCACTCGGCCCCAGTTCCGACACGCCCGCGGCCCTTCCCGAGACGCGCCGAACACTGCGCCCAGAGATCCATCGCCCCGCGCCCGCCCAACCACGGCACCGCCTTCCCTCGCCCAGCTCTCCCGCGAGCTTCCTCGGCTCGCCCCGCCGAGGTCCGCCCCTGGAGCGGGCGGGCAACCGTGCGCCGCGCGGGTTTCTCGCCCCCGCGGGGCTCGCGCCTTGCGGGGGCGTCAACGGCACCGCAACGGGCACTTACTAACGGGCACTTTGAATTGTTGCCGAAAGTTGCCGCTTTAGGGCCTTTTTCTTGCATTGCAGCTTTGCCCACATCGGGAAGGGTTGGGTTCGCTGGGTCACTGGCCAAAGTACCCGTTAGTGGAGTCCCCGTTTGAGGGGCGCTGAGGGCGTGCGTCTGGTTAACGGGCGGGCCGCGCCTCGCTGCGGTCGCGGGGGCTGCCCCGCAGCCGTTCTTGCCCGAGGGCTGCCCGGCCAGCGGCGGCGACGGCCCGGGGGCGGCGCGCGCGCCCGACGTCGCCGGGGCTCCCGGGGCGCCGCAGCTCCACCTCCTCCTCCTCCTCCTCCTCCTCCTCCTCCTCCTCCTCCTCCTCCTCCTCCTTGTCCTCCTCCTCCTCCTCCTCCTCCTCCTCCTCCTCCTCCTCCTCCTCCTCCCCCTTCCTTTTTGTGCAAGGGCTATGGCACACGTGCCACTTGTTTCAGCTACCTCCAACGCGCCCCTGGCCCCGATCGCCACTCACAGGGGTTTCGCTGCTGGGCGGCAGCTCGCTTCCAACGTCCTCGAGTTGGGCATGGCGGCCAGGTCGGCCTCGCCCGCGCCCGACGCCGCGCCCCGTCGGCCGAGCCCGGCGGCTTTGGACTTCGGCCAGGCCTTCCCCAGCCCGAGCCAGGAGTCTCTTTTCACGTTTCTCGGCAAACTTCGTTTGCCGTCTGTGCTCTTGGCGGCCATTCCATGTTGTTATCATTGTTGTTGGGCATGGCTTACCATGGGCCTGTTTCGCATCTTCTGCGGGGTCACTCAGGGGCGCGCGTGGTCCGATAGCTCATTCGCAGCTGGGACATCGCCCTCCTTGGAGGACCTTCGCCTAAGGCCCGAAGTCAAGGATGGAGGGGTCTTTCGGGCTTGCGCTGGCGATCTGGGCGGGGCGCTGTTCGACGAGGTTGACCTGCGCCCCCCTGCGAGGGCGATGGCGCGGAGAAGAGTGCGAATCTGAAGCTCGAGCCCGTTAAGTGCATCTTTGCCCCCCTTCCAAGGAGCGCTCGCACTGCGGATCCAGCACCAAACCCAATCGTTCATCAATGGGGCCACCCCTGCGCGGTCGCAGTTCAAGGTGGAGGGCCAGCTTTTGCACGTGGGCACGCGGCTTGGCCCAGCAGCTACCACCATGCAGTCCTGGGCGGCCCCCTGGGCGAAGTTCAAGACGCGGGCGGCAGCTCTCGCGGCCACCTCGGCGCCGACGTCATTAAACGCCTGAACAACACCACCCGCGCGCCCCCTACCATGGGGCGCGTTGCACAACTTCCCCCGCTGCCGCCTCAGACCCTGCACTTCGACATCCACGTGCTGGCGCGGCTACAACGACTTCTGGCGGCGCCCTCCGCTACGCGGATGTCTGCTCACTTGGCCGCCGGGGTGGCCCTGAGCTCCGTTCGATGGCCGCCTCTTCCGTGGCGGCGCTCGTTCGGCTGGCATGCGCCACGCATCCCGAGCACCTGCATCAACTCAGCTCCGCGGCGGAGCGATGGTTTCAGCATCGTTCCTTTCGCGATCTTGCCAGAGGGTTGTCGCCGTCCTTCTGGACCGCGCCCTCATTTGCGGAGTTCCCCGAGGCTGCAGCGGATAGTTATCAGACATTATGTGCAGCCGAGGTCGCGGAGCTCTTGGCGGCCAAACCTAAGACGCGGAAGCAAGTTCAGAAGGAGGTTTACTCGGTCCTCCTCCTTCTCATCCTCCTCTTCCTCCTATCCCTCCGCTCCCTCCTATCCCGCGTCCCCCTCCTCTCCCTCATCCCTCCCTCCTCCAAGCCCCCCCCCCCCTCCTAACCTCAGAAGGTCTTTAGCTTTGACCCCCCCAGATCTCTGGGCGGCGAAAAAACTTGTCCTAAAACCCTCATGTCGCGGCGGATATCGTTTTCCCTTTATTGGTGGGCGGGCCCAGTAATGTTTAGGGGTAATTTCTCCATCGGGATCATCCACTGCGGGCGACCCGGCAAGCGGGAGGACGCGTGAGCATCTTCTCCTGAGAATTGCAATAAGATTTGTTTCGGTTTGATTTGCGAATGTGCTCAAACTCGTTTGCCTAGCGTTGCTGGCAGATCTCCTGCTGGCGCCTGGTCGGCGCGCGCGGCGACGTGAGATTGGTTTCCTGTTTTTTTTGGGAGGCGGGTTGGATAATGGTGGGGGGCTATTTCTCCAACGGCATAATATACTGTGGGTTACCCTGCGCACGGGAGGATGAGTAAGCATCTTCTCATGAGGATTGCAAAAGCTCTTGCTGGCGCCCGGTCGGCACGCGCGGTTTCGTGCGACTCGTTTCCCTCTGTTCTTTGGGCGGGCGGAGTAATGCTTGGAGCTTATTTCACCCATGGAATAATCCATTGTGGGATACCCTGCGGGCGGGTGAATGTGTGGCCATATTTTCATGAGAATTGCAAAAGGCCGTTTTCATTTGCAAAACTGCTCAAATTCGCCTGCCTGGCAATGTCGGTCGAACTCCTGCTGGCGCCTTGTCGGCGCGCGCAGCGACATGGGATTAGTTTCCCTCTATTGTTGGGCAGGCTGGATAATGTTCGGGGGGCACTTCTCTAGCGGAATAACCATTGTGGGTTACCGTGCAAGCGGGAGGATGATTGATTATCTTCTCACAAGGATTGCAAGTAGAGTTGCTTCGTTTTGATGTGTGAGTTTGCTGCTCAACATCATCAGCCGAGCACTGCTGGCAGAACTGTTGCTGGTGCCTAGTCGGCGCGCGCGGCGACGTGGGATGAGTTTCCTTTTATTGTTGAGCGGGCTGGATAATGTTTGGGGGCTATTTTTTCCAACGGAATAATCCGTTGGGGGCTACCCTGCACGCGGGAGGATTTGCAATCATATTCGCACGAGGATTGCAATAGGAGTTGCTCCCCTTTGAGTCGCGAGTTTGCTCAAATCGTTTGCCGAGCACTGCTTGCAAAACTCTTGCCCGGGTCTGGTCGGCGCGCGCGGCGACGTGGGATTAGTTTGTGTTTATTGTTGGGCGGGTTCGGTAATGTTTGGGGGCTGTTTCTCCAACGGAATTATCTATTGTGGGCAACCCTGCACACGGGAGGGTTTGTAAGCATCTTGTCATGCTTGCAATTTGAATTGCTTCGCTTTGATGCGCGAGTTTGTTCAAAGTCGTCAGCGATGCACTGCTGGCAGAACACCTGCTGGCGCCTGGTCGGCGCGCGCGGCCAATATGGCATCTTTTTCCTGTGTGGAAGATACAGATCCCGTCACAGTTTTGCATTACCCACGCGACAGAGGATGGATGTTCTGAGGGCCCGCGCGGGGCCTGAGTTTCAATTGTCACTTTCAGGATGGAGTTTGGAGTGTTCGAGAGATTGCTTCTGAATGTCAGGTGTCTGAGCCAAGATTTCCCATAAGATCGGTGCTGACGAGCGCCGCGGGGAAAGAACAAGTAGTTTCCTTGTAATGGTGGGACACCAGTCCGTCAATAAGGCCGCCGAAAAATAAGCAGTTTCACTTGTCGATGGGGGGTTCTAGAGGCCTTATGGGGTTCTTCCTCTTTCTCCTCCTCACTAGCTCCCCCCCTCCCTCCTCCCTCCTTCCTCCCTCCCTCTCCTTCTCCTCCCTCCTCCCCGTCCAAAAAGGGGGCAGGCACCCAGCTCCTGACCCTCAGAACTGGGCGTCGTGTAAGAAGTCGCGGCGGGCGCTTCTTCCCCTTTGCTCACGGACCGACCCCTCGCCATGAAGGGCGGGGTGTTGCGGGAAACGGGTCTTGAGGTTTCTGTTGTTGGCTTGGGCATCCCAGGGCCCTCGTCGGGCCCTCTCCCATGACATCCTCCGATGTGATTTGCGCAATCCGTGGCCCCAGAAGCCCCGACCACTTCCCCAGGACTAGTTTTGCGCCCCAGATCCTTTCTTGATGATCGGGGGGCCCACGAGCGGGCCCCAGAGGCGGAGATCTGGGTCTCCGACGGACACGTGCTTTTCAATATGTGCGTTGTTTCTCTTTCCCGTCCTCTGGGGCCCGTTACCAGACCCAGTGATCACCAGACCCAGTGACCATCAAAAATGGATCCGGGATGTAAAACCACCCCCAGGGAAAAGGCCGGGAGCATCGGCACCGCGGATTGAACAACAACGAGATCGTAGGAGATCTGGGTTTCCTTCGTGCTAATTTTCCCGCTCGAGATATCGCACACAAAGCTTGGGCCAGGAGATCTGGTCGCGGGGTTTGAAGAGGCAGCGCGTGCGAAACCCGTCCTCGGCGCGCCAGATCCCAGGAGAGCGGCGGCGTGCGGATCAGAGGGAGGACTGCAGCTGGAGGGGGGGCACTCTGACCATTGGATAGTGGAACTTTCCAGCTGGCGTCCACCCTCGCGCTGCACTGGCCTTCCTGTGCACTGCAATCCGAGGCCTGGCGATGCCCGCGCACTTGCACGCTTGAGCCCTGCATGTTTCCTGATCGTGTGTGTCATGATTGAGGTGCCAATTCGCCGTCTAGGTGCGGCTCCTCCCGTTCGTTTGTTCGAATCGGTCGCTACCGATTTTGCTTCAAATTCTGGAATCGGTCGCGTCTGATTTGCTTCAAAATCGGTCGCGACGGGGTTGGAATGTAGATCGGTCGTTACCGGTCGCGGCCGAAAAAGGTTGGTATCAAGTGATCTGTGCTGGCGGTGCCCCCGCCCTTCCCACAGGTGGCCAAGCCCCGGCTGCTGCCAATCGTGGACCCAGTCAGCGGCAAGACCATTGACACGCTGGGGATGAACTTCGAGCCCCGGAAGCCCCACAGCCCCCTCAAGATCGTCGACCCCGCGAGCGGGGCGGCCGTAGACCCGCCCAGCAAGTAGGCGCCAGGCCGAGCAGCATCCCAGGCGCCCGCCAGCAGTGAGAGACCGAGGCCCCGGAAACCAGGACATTCCCTGAGATCCGGGCGTTGCATTCTTTTCGCACCAGGCGTTTCGCCTGGTGTCGGGCCCCGCGACCCTCACAGATCAATCCAGCTCGGAAATGGCGCAGAGAGATGGGGTCTGGGGCTGCGGCCGTGATTTTTCACGATGTTGCATCATTTTTTTTACGTCGGATCTCAGAATCTTGGGGGGGCCCAAGCGGTGCGGTGACCACACCGTGTGGTGAGTGAGTGGGGCTTCGGGGTAGCCGCGCAGTTTTGTAAATTGGTTCGTTCTCCGAAGGCGTCTCGGGCGACTGGGGCCTCCAAGGCCTCAAAACCGTGCGATGGCGGACCGTCTGGTGAGGTCTTTGGAGATTTCGAGGTCACCACAGGATCTGTCGCCGCACCGCGTCGGGATCCCGAATGAACCCAGGACATTGCAAACCTGGAGTTTGACAAGTCCAACTGGAGAAGACAGAGAATGGAGGATTTTCTACCCACGGCTGCAATCTTCTCTGCTGCGCCGAATTCGTGGTTTATCAAGGTCCCCGTTTACGGGGCCCTGCTGAGAGGCCACACTCGCGCGGGGCCCACCGAACTGATTACCGACCAGACATGCCTCCTTCGACCCCGGTCAAAAGCGGCATCGGGAAGGTCGAAGGAGGAGGGAGGGAGGTTTGAGTATGAACGAAGAGGAGGAGGAGAAGAAGAAGGAGAAGGAGGAGGAGAAGGAGGAGGAGGAGCGATGAAAGAGCAGGAGGAGGACGACGGCGATGACGAGGATGAGGAGAGATGAGGGACGAGGTATGGGTGAGGGAGGAGCGGGGATGGACAAGGAGGGAGGCGCCCCAGAGGATCGTCTCTCGTGCCTGGCAGAACCCGCCGCCGCCCCCGAACCCCCAGGCGGCTCATCGCGTTTGATTCGTAGGTCGACCCTGCCACATCAAGGGTACCATATTGTTCCGGAGGGAAAAAATACAGACACAATTAATCGTCGAGCCCCCAGAAAATATGGACAAATATGGGAAGTGGGGGGAAGGACAAAAACCTAGAAAATATTGGAAAATATGAGGCATCCTGTTATTTGTGTGTATTTATTTGAATGTCCCAGGGCCCCTTCATTTGTGTCCAGTGTGCCGCCTCTGATGCCTTCTGCAGCATTGGGGCGAGGGTGCTCTGGCTTGGGGGCCATAGTGCTCTCGCAAGAGTCTCGTGTCCTCTCGCGTGCCCGCTCCGATGAACCTCTACTGCAGCATTTTCAGAATCTCCGCAGCCATTCTGGATCGAGGCCTCCTCTCGACTCGAGCCGATCTGATCCAGATTCGGTTCAACCCACGCCCCCTCCACGCGAAGCTTACGTATTCGGGGTGCACGCTGGCGAATGAGCGCGCACATGTGTGATCCTCCATCCCTCCGCAGCTCGGTGGACTGCGATCCGATCCTCGCGCGGTCACGGGGCGCACCTCAGCTGGTGCAGACGGAACGGGTCGCCCGCAGCTGGTCGGTGCCGCCCTCGCCACATTCAGCCCCGACCCCGCGGGTGCGTCCGCCCCCGTCCTTTCCTGCCCGTGGGCACCTCCCTCTCCACCCCCTCGGCATGAAGGAGACGGGTCTCGAGGGAAGCGGGCTTGGGACCCTGAGGGCTTTCCCGGGACCAGCTTCCAACCCCGAGCCACGCACTGACGGCACGGCAGCCCTCCGAGGGCACGGCACGCCCGAGGCAGGCGAGATGCCCCCGGGAACTCGTGCTGCCAAGCTGTTGGCATGATTACTATCCTGGAGCTCAGGAGGGGCCCTGGCCTCTGGGCCGTTGCTCCGGTCTGGATCGGGGCACTCGTGCTCGTGGCCGCGACCCCAAAAAGCCCGCTCGCTGCTCACTGAGCGCTCCTTGCGGCGGCACGGGGACTGCTCCCTTCGGGCACCCGCGGGGGCGCGAAGAGGATCCTGAGCCAGGGCGGTTGTCCTTCTCCAAGGGGGCGGCGAGAGGGTGCGAAGATGATACAGTCAACCCGCATAGGAAGGATGGGCAACCTTCCCAAGGGTACCCTTGCATCCTTGCCTCCTCTGTCCATCCTTCGCCGCTTTCGCTGGCCGCGCCCCGCTCGAAAAGCTTCGAAATGGGCGTCCAGGGCCCTTGCATCCATATCGCGCATCCTTACCATACTGGTTGACTGTAGCGCGGGGCGCAGTGCGCGAAGTCGAGTGACCGACTGTCCCTGCCCTCGGGTCGGCCGCCGTACCCCCGAAGGTGGCTCGGGGACCGCCCGCTCCGCCCAAGGGGGGCGACCACGGCGCCGGCTGCGGCGGCGGCCACGGCGGCAGCAGCAGCGACTGCGACGACGACGGCGACGACGACGACGTGTCGACTGCGACGACGACGGCGACGACGACGACGGCGAGGACGACGACGGCGACGGCGACGACGACGACGACGACGACGGCGACGACGGCGACGGCGAGGACGACGACGACGACGACGACGTCGACGACGACGAGAATCGGAGCAAGACTCACCTTGGCATCGGCGCCAGCGGCAGCGACCGAGGAGCGGCGGCGACGGCGGCGGCGACGGTGGCAGCGGCGGTGGCGGTGACAGCGAGGCTGACGACGGTGGCGACGGCGGTGACAACTGCAACGACTACGACGATGAGAGTCGGCGCAGGGTCAAGCTTCTCGAACTGCGCCCAGCCGTGGCCACGAGAGCACCCCAGGGACACAAAACGCGGGACCCAGGAGGAAGGAAGATGGCGGCGGCGGCGGCGGCGGCGGCGGCGGCGGCGGCGGCGGCGGCGGCGGCGACGACGACGACGACGACGACGACGACGACGACGACGACGACGACGACGACGACGACAGACGACAGACGACAGACGACAGACGACAGACGGCAGACGGCGGCCACTTCGAGACTGGCGGCGCGCGAGAGGCCGCCGAGAAGGACCGCGCGGGGCTGGAGCGCAGCCTCCTCGAGCGGGAGAGGCTGGTGGCCGCGCGCGAGCAGCAGGTGTCGGAGATGAGCCGCACCCACGAGGATCGGCGGGCCTGGGTCGGCAAACAGATCCAGCAGGCTTGCGACACGTCCGCCGACCCTCCAAACTCTCCTTTTTTGATGCGGTCTCCAAGGCTTACGGACACCCTCCCCATTCTGGAAGATTGCATCGCACCCGCTTAAACGCTTCTGAAAGCTTGCGTCCGGCGCGTTTTGCCCGAGGCATCCTTGCAGTTCTTGGCTTCGGAGTGCCGCGCCAGAGGTGGCCCGCCTCCTTTCGCCTGGGCCATCCTCGTAACTCGTGGCCCTGATTTGAGGTGGGCTGGCCCGTCTCGCCTGAGACATCCTCGCAATGCCGCGTGAGAGGCATCTCTGGACTCGGGGATGCCGCGGGAGAGGTGGTCCTGCGGTTTTCTCGCTTGAGATATCCTCGGACCTCTGGGCTCCGCGATGCCCTGACCTGAGGCGGTTCGGCACCTTTCGCCTGAGACATCCTCGCATCTCTGGGCTCCGAGCTGCCGCGCGCGATGTGGTCTGGCCCATGGCGTTCTTCGAAACAGCCTCGCAGTTCTGGGCTCCGAGATGCTGCGCGCGAGGTGGCCTGGCCCCGTTTCACTTAAGACATCCTCGCAGATTTAAGTTCCGAGGGGGACAAGGGAGGACGGAGGAGGGGTCAGGCTCAAGCGAACAAATTAATTATCGAATGCCAGTCGGCACATCCCGCCACATCGCACAGCGCCCCCCCGTCCAATTTGGCACAGCCCTCAATCGTTTCGTGGCTTTCGGGGAGTTCCACCGAAGGCCGTGCTGGCAGGGTATCGCACGCGCCCCCCCCCCGCTAACTTCGGCGCACCATTCACAAGTGTCGTGGCTCCAGACTGCATGCGGCACCTTACTCGCTGAGGCTTTCGGTAGAGCTCCCTGTGGGACCACGAAACGTGCGAGGGATGCGCCAGAATGGGCACGGGGACACTATGCGGCACTTTGCCACTGGAGTTCCTTGTGGCGCCAAGAAACTTTGAGGGTTGCGCCCAAATTGGCGGGGGGACGCTAATTATGGTGGAGCGAAGACTCCTGGCACACAGGATTGAAAAACAGCCCAAGAAAATCTACGAGGTTCCCAGCGGTAACCCCGTTGACAGTTCACCGCCTGCATCCGGCTGTTTTGGATGGGGGCCCCGTTGCTGAACGGGGCGCGATGATCTTTGGATCGAGGCAGACGGGGCGGCCGCGCGCCCAAGGGAGCAGTGGAAATTGCCATGGGGATGGTTCGGAAGGCGCGAGCACGTGGAGGTAGAAAAAGCAATGTGTTAAGATCGATCCTGCTCCTCCTGCTCCTCATCCTCCTCCTTCTCCTCCTCACGCCCCCCCCCCCCCCCCCTACCCCCTCCCCTGGACCTGGACGGGGCGCCCCGCGGGTAGTTAGAGAGCCCAAGATGGCCCAAGATGTGCCTCGGTCTGTAGGAGGCCCTTCGGGGGTCCCTGTCTTTACGAAGCGCGCGGGTGGATGC